GGAAAAAAGATAACTAAGGAGGGATATGATTGATATCTATAAAATCATGACTGGTGTGGAGAAAGTAAATAAGGAAGTGTTATTTACTCCTCATAACACGAGAACTAGGGGTCACCAAATGAAATTAATAGGCAGCAAGTTTAAAACGAACAAAAGGAAGTATTTCTTCGCACAAGGCACAGTCAACCTGTGGAACTCTTTGTCAGAGGATGTTGTGAAGGCCAAGATCATAACAGGGTTCAACAAAGAACTAGATAAGTTCATGGAGGATAGGTCCATCAATGGCTATTAGCCAGGATGGGCAGGGATGATGTTTCTAGCTTCTGTTTGCCAGAAGCTGGGCATGAGCGACAGGGAAAGAATCACTTGATGATTCCCTGTTCTGTTCATTCCCTCTGGGGCACCTGGCATTGGCCACTGTCGGAAGACAGATACTGGACTAGATGGACCTTTGGTCTGACCCAGGATGGCCGTTCTTATGTTCTTACTGATTGTTAAAAATTATAATTCCTGAGGCTTCCCCTCTCCCCCATGCTCTCCAGGTAGCCCAGCTTCCCAGGCTGTGGCTCTTCATTATTCTGTCCAAACAACCTAGCTCAGAACCTCCTTCCCCAGAAGTACACCAGAGAAGCGAAGTGGGCAGTTTGTAACTGGTTTCAGCAAGTGATAAATTGGAGAGGGTTCGGAGAAGAATGATTAAAGGATTAGAAAACCTGCCATGCAGTGGTAGGCTCAAAGAGTTCAATCTATTTAGCTTAAAGTAAAGATTAAGGGGGGACTTGATAACAGTCTATAAGAATCTATATGAGGAACAAATATTTAATGATGAGCTCTTCAGTCTAGCAGAGAAAGATCTAACACAATCCAATGGCTGGAATTTGAAGTAGACAAATTCAGATTAGAAATAAGGTGTAAATTTTTAACAGTGAGAGTAATTAACCATTGGAACAAATTACCAAGGATTCTGGTGCATTCTCCATCCCTGACAATTCTTAAATCAACACTGGATGCACTCTTCACATTTTCAAAATCATCGCCACAATTATATGGGCTAAGAAACATTTTGAAATGAAAGCTGAGATTCTGGAGCACAATTATCCATCAAGGGCTGAATTCCAAGACAAACTCCATGCCTATGAAATCATGAAATACGCAGGACTCTTCTTATATGATCCTCATAACTGTTGTATCTGAGCCCCTTCTAATTAAAACACGTAACAAAAAACAAACTTTCCCCTTTCTTTGTGTGCGAGGATCACTTGAAAGTTAACAGGTAGGAATGCTTGTAAGCGAGAGAGAGTCTCTCTACATACACTATCTAATGTGAGATGGGTTTTGCACTTAGTTCTCAATACTGCAATACTCTGTCAAAGCATTTGTTGTCTAAGGCAATCCAATCAGTCCTCTTCAAGGAAACCTCCAGAGTGGTGATAGGCTTTTCCTTACCAAGAGCACATTCCCACGTGTCCAGAGGTATCCATTTTAGTTTGCCTCCTCTTCAAAATCTGCATGAGACCACTTAAAGAGGTAGTAAGTCACCACAGGTTCCAATGACAAACCTACGCTAATTAAACCAAGCTGATCATCTACTTTTCCACAGATGTAACCAGTCCCATCATCAGCATATCACAATGCCTACAACAGATAGGCAGCATTTGATGTTGGTCATGAGATTCTGCAGTCTTGCCTGAGACGTGGCATGGGTCCAGGATAATGTACTAAAATGGTCTAAGTCCTTCCTGGAGGGATGAACCCAGTGAGTAGTAATGGGGAACTGCAGCATCACCACTAGTCCCCTTGCTTGTAAAGTTCCACAAGGATCAATTTTCAGTCTGCTCCTTTTCAGTATCTACATGAACTCAAATGCCAGTGATACACAGCTGACACAGAGCTCTATCTATCCTTCACCACAGCACTACCACCAAGATTGCCTAGTGCTTGGAGAAGACCAGCTCTTGGATGAAGAACAGCTGGCTGAAACTGAACCCAAGCAAACCAGAGGTGATGCTGGTGGGCAGAAGAAAGTATTTTGAGGAGCTTGCCGCTTCAGTGCACTCTCCGTTGGTTGAAGAAACACATCACAATTAGTCCAGTCAGTCTGTAGTCTAGAAGTAATCTTGTATTCCTCACTGATGCTGAATTCTCACATAGCAGAATCCACAAGTACTGCTTGCTACCCCTCTGCTTGGCTAGGAAACTCCATCCCATCCTGGTGGAAGAAGACCTAGTTTCAGATATTCATGCCTTGATTACCTCTTGGCTGGATTACAGCAAGACAATATACCTGGGCATGAAGCCTTCAGCATTTAGGAAACCTGAACTAGTTCAGAACACTGCAGCCCATCTCCTCAGCAATACAAACTACCATAAACATACCAAACTGCCCTCTGCTCTCTATACTGGCTTCCAATAGATTTTCAAATTAAGTTCAAGGTCTCAGTCCTGATCTTCAAAACACTCCATGGCCTGAGCCCAGGACTTCTAAAAGGCCATCTAAAGCACTGGGATGAAGAATGGGGGAAAACAACTATGGCCCTCTCGTACAATGGAATTCTCAACAATAAAGAGTAAAGCTTATTTATGCAAAAGAGAGAACCTTCTCTGAGGTTTTCTTGCATCTGAAGAAGTGAGGTTCTTACCCACGAAAGCTTATGCTCCCAGTACTTCTGTTAGTCTCAAAGGTGCCACAGGACCCTCTGTTGCTTTTTACAGATTCAGACTAACACGGCTACCCCTCTGATACCTTCTCTGAGGGACGTCTGAGACTGCGGAATGAACTCCCCCAGGAACTCAGAACCTCAACCTTCTGCTCCATGTTTCTTTGATGTTGCTTTCTCTAATGTGAACACACAGCAACAGGTACAATTTAAAAAAAAAAAAAAAAACCAAACACACACTTCTAAAACAAGACATTCTACTGCACACAACTCTCCTTCTGGGCAGAGGATGAGAGAACTACACAGGAGAGATGTGTAGTTACATTGCTTAATGCACTACTGGAATGCGCTCAGACGCTACGGTCTAGTCTATATACAACCTATATAGACTAGACAAGACCGATCAGCTGGCT